GTATTCCACAGAATTGTCATTTGGTTTTCATTACAGTATAATGTGTGACGTAATATAGTTTCTAAATGATCGAACGAAAAACTTTTCTCTTCATTTAAAAATATTTAATAATGCTTTATTTGAGTTGGACAGCAAATCAAAAAACATATACCATTATACACCAGATATCTCAATATATGATTACATTTTTACCACCCTATATACGATAAAAAAGAAAAATTTATTTTTAAAATCTTTCTTGCTCGGGATAAACCTTCAGGAAATTAATTTGGTATCTAACGGATAACGAAAAGGTTTTTTTTCTATGATTTATGATAATATGGTACCCATTTACCAACGCCAAAATCGTTTTCAACTGACAATCAAATTAAATTTCCCGAGCTGTTAGCTTCTTCACTACTAACAATGTGAGAAGAAGAGGGAGAGCACATTTTAGATACAAAATAGTCAATGATATTTTTTCATAAGAAAAATCACATTTGTAAAATATTTTCTACACGCAGCACAATGACTACCTAAACTTTTTTGGATTCAGTTCTTATCGTATCATAGACTCATGGGCAACTATATATTATAATATACAAATTCATATTTCCTGTTTATTGACAACGATATTGGATACTAAAACAAGCCCATGGTAAATAATATCAGTAATAAAATAAGACAAAAAAGCTTCTAAGAAATTCAAATCTTTTCAGTTTCTGCCGTTTCGTTAGTCGTATTGTAATATTTTATTTCGTGAAATCTTCATGAGCCAAAATAAAACGAGTACTCTCTTTATATATTTGGTAAAATATGTTATTTTAATGTTGTATTTTATTTTCTACGAAAAAAAAATTATTTTAATGAGATGTAATTTTTATGTAAGGATTTTCGATAATCATTTATTTATGTACATACAAATATAAGTATTATTTAATCAAACTGGAAATTCCATTTTTAAGCGCCTAACAACAATATGTTTTTATTTTAATTTGATAAAATGTACCTATTTATTTTTCCATTATGGTTTATGATCATAATTTTTAACGCAATTTTTTTATAATTGAGTTACGTTAGGTAAAACAAATATTTTTTTTCTTCAAAATATACACATTACATAGTGCACATTACAAAATATTGTGTTCAGTAAAACAGTCATTCATTTAAAAGGTAATTATTTTACATGCTAAAGTTAAACCACATAAATAAACAATTTGGAAAAAGTTATTTTAATGATACCATATTCATTGATAATTTAAGTATTTTCAGTTCATATTATTGGTTTGTTGTTAGTACATCTATTCGTTACATCATAGGACAACAATATAGAAATGAAACTTGATCAGCTGATTTGATTTTTATTTACTTGCAATCCGAGGACTAAATTAGATATGTCTCTTACGCTTATGTACCCATGTTTTGATATAGTGTGAATTTCTGAGAAACAAGGAAACGAGTCGACATCAACCTAATGTTATAATATGTTTGTTTCATTGAGTAACGAAAACGTTTATGCCACGGTTTTTTAAGGGATCAATGCTGTAATCATCGAATATGTCCAAATCAGCAATCAATTTAAATTTATCTTTTTTTCACTCTAAAAATTATTTTAAATAGCACAGTAAAATGGCGTATTCCGAACATAAAATTTGACATCTTATGTATTAGGTAGTAAGACAGATACTTTATACGGATTCTACGACGTTCTCAACATTTTTATTATTATTTGATATTCGTAATCATATAACATTTGAGTTACAAGCGCCATGTATTTTATGCATTATAATATGATTAAATGTCCCCCCCTAAATACACCACTGCAACATGTAAGTGAACAAATTTATTAATTATTAAAATATGCATCGTGCATTTTTATACAACATGTAATAACTTAATTACAATGTATATGTTTTTCAATTTCCTTCTTACCTTTTTTTGCTAAACCCGTGTCTATGTGATATATATGATACCTGGGAGCATTTGGACTTTTCTTCAATAAATATTTTAAGTTTAAAATAAAAAGATGAATTTACAAGTATCAGTTTTTTTATTACGTATTTACAATTCAAAATTCACAAAAAACTTGTTTCGCAGAACAGACATATCCATTATTTATCTATACATTAATAATACATATATTTATAGGTAACTGCATGTGTATTTAAATAAGGATATACATTTGATTAAATATAATATTTTATATCGAGGTATTAAACGTAAAAAGAATAGTGAAATATGTTTTAACATGCTAAAAATAATAAACAATGTCTACAACTTAATAACATCGAAGTATTATAAAAATCTTATCTAAGTTTTGTTAATATTTCATTGTTTTATATGGAAGATAGGTGCTATTATATAGTTATATATTTATATTGTACACGCATATAATAATCTTATCACTATATTTAAATACAATTAAATAAAATACTATTAATTAAATGTTAGCTTACGAAGGTGATACGTTTTTATTTTTTTACATATCATTATTTTAACATTGATTAATCGAAGAAATAATAACCCGTGCAGATAAGAGTACATTTTCCTTTATTGACAATGTATACAATTTATAAATCTGTATAAAAAAAGCTATTTGTATAAAGAACATTAAACATTAATAAAAAAAAAAAACATAATTGGTATGTACAGTGGAATCGTCCGATCGTGTAACCTGCTTTACTACTTATATGATTTAATCGATGCTTTTGTGTGCTTAAACATGGTTCTCAATTTTTATAATTTACTGTTAAATACTTTTATTCAAATAAAGAATTATACACTTTACGACTGTACTTATTTCAGAGATAGTGTACAATTTTTGAAGTATCCATGCCACCACAAATTGCTTATTCAGTTAGGTATTTGAAAATAAAAAAATAACTGTACATCATAATACATTAATATATCCAATATTTAGAGTCAAAATTTAACCATCTTTCAAAGTATTAACGTTTTTGGAAATATTTTCATTCCACAACTTTGTATATAATGCAACTTGTTTTTGCTTTTTTTGTATGAAAGTAAATTTAACTTAACATTGTTTAGTTGATTTTTTTTTTGAAAATGTTAGATAATATATATACATACAAATTGATTTTTAAACAAGTAGTTAATAAGTGATAATTTTTTTAAATTTATTATGAGCCAAGTGTAATTTATTTCACTTCACACAGAAAAGTATTTAAAGTTCCTATATGTAATCAACGAAAAACTATGTTAACCGCACAGTTCTCCGCTGCTTACATTTAAAAACTTTAAATAATTAAAACTAATTAACTACAAGTTATAATTTCGATTTATACATAAAATTAAGTTTAAATATGGGGAAATTAATACTATTCACTATTCATTACATAAATAAAATAATATGTAGGTTAGGTTAATATGTTTCTCGAACATTATTCATTGACTTTTTGAAAGTAAAATAATGTAGGTATCAATCTTTATATAATGTTTAAAAATGGCTATGACATTTATTAGTGTTCGATAATCTCACAAAAGCTATTAAAACCATATTTACATATTAGGTTCAGTTGGTGCTATTATTTGCTTTTGTCTTAGTTAAGTGTCCCCCCCCCCCCCCAAAAAAAAAAAAAATAATTAACGCACAATATTACGTTTGCCAGAATACGCTTTAACTTTAAGTTATGTAAAAATGATATTTTCCAAAACGTTAATACTTTATAGTTTACTTTTAGAAAAACACTTTTTACAGATAAACAATTGTTCGTTTAATAGTGTATAGTAAGATTAATATCTACATTTATACTTTTAGTTGAACTCTAATTGTATTAATTTATAATGTATACATTTTTGAAATTTATGGATAACCATTAATGCTGAAAATATGACTTGTTATGTTTGTATTATTGGTTATTAAAAAAAAACAATTTGTATTTAGCAATCTAGTAGTTCTCAAAGCACAGACTACATTCAATTTCCAATGAACTGTATATTCTACATGAGAGAATTTGAAAAAGTTTACTGCTCTAAAAATATTTGTAAAAAAAAAAAGGAGAGAAAAAATGACGATGTAAAACCAAAAGCTTATTTGCTCCTTTCGGAATAAACATACGAACACATTGTTTAAAGAGTAAAATAATGTATTCACGTGCATTTCCTTTATGCACGAAAACTAATATCAGAAAGAATTCTCAAAAGCCCGAAAATTTGAGACATTTTTGCATTTCCCTTTAATGTTACACAAATAGGTAGTTCAATGAAGTGTATTGTTTTATTTGATCAGAGGTTACTATTTACTAAGTTTAATATTTCAGTGAATAGTAAAGTTTTGAAACGGTGAACTATGGAAAATGAACCATGGACTTTGGTGACTCATTCAACAGAGGTAATATCAATTAACCAATTTAACATTAGTCCCTGTGACACACATTTCAAAGACATTTCGGCTTAACCATAATTATTTGTGATGGTGTAAATGGAGGAATATTTTAGCAGTAAGTTAAATAACAAAAATGCATCATCATGTAGTAATATAAAAATTATATCCAGATTAAGTCGTCTGTTAAAAAATTCGGTGAAATAAACAGTTTTCAGACATTTGAAAAAAATCATTTATCCGTAATACTTTATAAATGTTTATATACACAAATGATAACAATTTTTAGGGTTTAAACGTGTTATTAATGATGAAAATAGTGTAAACGTATTATAATATAATAAAATCCATAAACTTAAGATTGTTCCGAATCTTAAAATATACAACGCAATATTATACACATTATTAATTGTATGACGTCTTTAGTGCGTATATGTCAAAGAAACATTTCCTCAATTCTACATTATTATATTTTCAAAACTAAAAATTACAAGCCAAAATTCTTGATGTATGGGTTTTCATACAGAAAATATCAAATAAATATCACCAATATATACATTTGTCTATATACCTTACGAATCGTATACACATTTAAAACATAATAAACACTAACACGATTAAAATATATAACAGATTACATAATATTTTTATTTTATTATAATATTGTATAATTATCGAATCATAAAACATTTAACCAGTATATTATAATGTAGGTTTCGTCAGACATATTAATTAAATTATAAAACACCATGACATTATAGTGCACAATGACGAAATATTTAATGTTAAACGGTGTCTTAGAAATTATTAAAAGCTATATCCATAATCAAAAAATGTATTTACAATGTTGATTTTTTGTCATTATTAATTTGTTATCGTCATTATCATTAATATTATTTTTGTTTTTCGTACAATAATACAGTTATTACAATAAATCCGGAGCGATTTTCGATTTGAAACGCACTCACGGTCGCACACCAATAATATTGTGCTCTCAATTTGTATTGAAGTTGAGGAACATCACTAAGGACGGTATGAGTATCCATATGGATGGACAGCTAAGCATGTTCAGACTTCTTCCGTGTCCGTGTTGCATGGCCGCTGGGTTCTCACCTGAAACAACAAGAAATGCGTCCTCAGTTACAACGTGGTCGATTGTTCAAGTGTGGTACAACAATACAATGTGTTCTATACCATAGGTATGGTTGAGTACTAATTATCATGTGCACCGACACCGCTCGAGAAAACCAAACGAAGCGACCGTCGTAATTATTTTCATACTGATCGGTAGAGACACTTACATAAATAACTATATTATTAGGTATTAAAATATTAAAACTATGCGAGTATGACAGTGGGTAACACAATATATTTTTATGTTCCGGACTCTAGTAAATTTAGGTCATTCGATAAAATCGCAGGCTTGAGAATTCCTAACGAATGATGCGATTGTCGAGCTATAATAACTTTTGATGTATCTTAACACAGTTCTAAGACAAGCCTAAAAAAAATTATATAGGTACTTAATATATTTTTTTAATAATTGACGCTTTTATTTTGTTTCCGTCAACAGAATATTATTAATAAGTAAATTAATAAGTATTTAATTTTTAAGTTTATACGTTTACTTATTTAAATAATACAAATATTGACGCGCGGCATCTAGGATAGGCATTATGTACACAATTCTTTAGTGTGATCCATCGTGTAAGTATGACAATGATATTACGCCTATGTTGGAGCAAACATGAACAAATAACGCAAACTCGATTAGTTCAGAGTTAAGGCATGGTTTATTGGTATGCACTTTAAACCATAAAATATTGAAGTATTATTATACCAACAACAATGTCGATAGAATATTATATTTCAAATTATTATTGAAAATGAAACCTAATAGGCAATATTTTTGATTTATAACTAAAAAAAAGGAACTTAAATTGAAGTTTATAAATACCTAACAAATTATTTTTAAAACTGTACTGCAGATTAATGATTTGTATGTTTGCATTGTGTACGATTCGTATACCTCAAGTCAATAGACAAAGATCTATTAAGTATATAACCTAATGGTTGTACTAAATAATATTATATTATATAATCTGCGATATTATCATTCATTGTCAAATCTAACTATTAATAACTACCCTACTACTAACTTTATTTACTCTCTTTTAGCTGAACTCATAGCAAATTCATAAAGTATAAGATACTACACTGTTCAATGCCGTGAAAACGTCACAACAAACGATTAGTATAAAATCGTACAATATCAGAAATGCTGAAATCTACAAAACTATATTTAAAATATACAGTGTTTATGCATTATTAAAATGTTCATAGTAGTAATGAATCATGACGATATTATATTTTATTTTTTTAATATGAAAATAATTGACGTAGGTAATTTATGTGTGGCTTGTGCATGTCCAAGCGGAATTAAAAATCGAAATTTAGCACCTGCTTTTTAAACCAGTTAATGAACATTTATCGTCAGTTGACTGACTGTCAAGAACCACTGATCTTATAGTGATAACGAATAGTAACTGTTGGGAACTGCACATTCCAATGAAAAAATGAACACGACCAGTGAACCTAGCTAATGGCTTCGTTTGGGCCGTAAAATAAACCATACTATTGTTTTTCCCTAACCCAGTGAAAGATTAAATTACGCCACCAGTCACGCTAACAAACCGGACATTGTCCGAACCATCGTGGTTCAAAAATGAACAAAATAGATCTCGGAGAAATAGAGTAACAAGAATTTTGTCTCAAGATTAAAAAAATGTGTAAAAAAAAACAAGACATTTTTTAGCGAGATAAATGTGACTTGTCGTCCCAGTCTTCCGGTCTCCTGGGATGGTTTAACCTAAACGCGTTCAAGATATATTTATGATGTTCGATTCGCTATAACTTTTTCCCGAAACGCCACTGTAGTTGTACTTTACTACGTATGTAGGAGGTACCTCTTATACTTGCGAGTAAACGTAAGCCGGTTCTATTAATCCAAATGATTGCGACGCACTGAACATATAATATCGAATACTTACTACTAACTAGTAACTATAATATACTACTTACGGGTATAATATAGTATACACTATATTCTATTATCATCATTATTAAAATACAGACATAATAATTTATATATTTCCTTCGCGATTTATTTATCAGCTATAGTTGGGATTTAGGCTAGTCTTGCGTTTTGTATCTAACACATTATTATTTTTTGATTTAAGATTAAATATTAAGACTGTCAAGGTTACCATTAATTTTAAATAGCTTTTCTTACTATCATAACCACAGAAAGAAAATTCGTTAGGATTTAAGGATGAGGATAATTTTTTTTAAATAAAGATTACATTTAAACAGGTAAATTAATTCACATACCAATGTTGTAAAATGCTGTATATATTAAGTGTTTCCTTTATCATAAAATATGTTATGTATATAACTGTTGAGCAATAAACAAAAATATTAAATAATATATTAATATTATACAAATGACAACTTATAAGAAACCAACATAAGATCTTTCTATTACAAGGAAAAATAAAAATGTGATTAACTTTCGACTTTCTACTGAATGGGTATTTCAAATCATATAAAATGTTTTTATATCGGGTACGGGTTTGGATAGATATAAACACTAACTGTTAACTCCAGAAACGGAGAACATTATTTCTAAGTGATGCAAACAGAATCCAATTCATAAATGATACTTTAATATTAAATTGGAAATCAGAATTATTTGAGACCCTTCAATCTTCAGCTTTGAATTATATAGGTTAGGTTAGGCTATATACATCGAATTCCTTTCACATATTATTATTTATACACAAATGGTACACATATTTAATATTGTATACATTCCCCACTCCAGGCGTTTAAAGATTCCAGAGATTTTCTTGACAAGCAGCAGTAGTATATTTTGCGGGAAAACGATATTGGTATTGGTTATCAAAGTTCTAAAATTACTTTCAAGAAATGTAAGCGATTGTCAATATTAATATTTTGCCGAGTTGACAATAAATATTACTGTATTCGAATTCACATTTCGCAGCGTAATGGCGAGAAAACTTTTTTCAGATTACTTTTTGAATACGTTGCGCGATCAAATTCTACCTATTCGGAGATACTGTTGGTGTATCAAACTTAGTAACTTATTCATTTAATATAAATCACCGACAAACGATCGCTGCTTATGAAGCGATTTTACCGTTCTTCTAAGATAAACAAGGAATCGTTTAAACCAATATTGATTGTATTAGACGGTTCGTATAAGCCAATGGCTGTTTAGTGCTAATCGACCAAAATTTAGACCCTTGAAATTTTTTTCACATTATTCACGCTGCACTTCTTTTTGTCGAAAATTGAATTTTTTGTTGCTAGCTGTTAGCTTTTTTAATTATATTCTTAATTTTAAATGATATGGTATCATGTTTCATAATATAATGTACTACTATCACAATGCAAACTACTGGTTTACATAGATTTTCGACGATCATTCAGTTTGGCATAAACCTACTCTTCCTTGTACCAGAACAAATGTTTAATATGTTGAACTTTGTATAACAACAATGTATTTATTGAAATGGTTTAGACAAAGTGATATCATAACTAATGTGTATACATACTGTATGCACATTAATTATTATTTATTACAATAGCAACTTTAAAACTCATACCAATTGTTACTCATAGCTCTATTGTAATGGAATGTTCATAATATTGTATTATTTGTATTACATTTTATACATTAGTATTAAATATTAAATTATCACGAACGCACTTAATTTAATATTGTTATTATGTAAATAACTCAAATAGGATATGTGATTGAAGAAGAGAATAGTCACAACATTACAACAATAATAACAAATAATAATTTAATTTTTAATTTTGTATTTATTAAAAAAATTATATTAATAGGTATTTGCAGTTTCTATTGTTCTATATTGTCTGTATAAATTATTAAACAATTAAACCTGGAATGGTTTTCAATGTGTTGGTCATCATTAAAATTGATCACTTTAGATTGAAAATTACTCAATAATAAAAGTTAACTACTTATGTTTTATAAATACTACATATGAAAACAATAATCAAATTAAAGTCTGAATATATAATTTAATAATTAATAACAGAATCAAGATATAATACTATACGAGATAAATGGTATTTTGTCTTTAAAAATATATATCACAGAAATCGTATATTTGCATGATTATTATAATATATTATACATTTAAATATTAGAGGTAGGTATTTATAAAAAATCAACTACAAAATGTAAAACCATGCAACTGATAAAAAAAGTAGTGAATATGGATGCACAAGATGTATAAAATATATTATAATATAATACAATTAACAGTAATGATTAGTACTACATAGTGTATATTACACTTTAAATTAAAATGTCTATTAAAATAATTGTGCATTTGGATTTTTTATATTTTATAACTAGCAATTATTTCCAAATTTTTATAATGTTGTCAAAATTTAAAGACGAAATACTCCCATTAGTTTTTAATATTTTGAAATCGCTGTAAAAAAAATATGAGGAATCTACTTTACGATTTGCAAGCTTGTTTCTAATAAACAAAATTTAAATGTTTATAAATAGAACGAAAATAGTCCGCAAAATATATCGCAAATTATATTCATGTTTATAAAATGCTATTACAACTGTTTAGTACGAATTTAAAATCTCAACGGTTATACATTTTTGAATAACAACAAAAGAAGAGAATTGGTTTTTATTCGATATTTCCAATTTTTCCGTAATTTCATTTTTGTTTTTCCTGATCATTGAAAAGTACATGGAATTGTTATCCAAGTTACTACTAGAAGCTATCCATGAAGTCGAGAATTTGTAAATTTTAACTGCTTCAAAAGGACACAGAGCATTATAAATTAAAAAAAACCCACATGACTTTAAAACCAATACGTTCATCGCTGCGCTCAGAACCTAAAATCTACGTCACAATTTATTTAAGAGTTGTTGCAAATATCATACCCCCAAGAGACATGGTAATACAACGTGCGTTTGTTTTTATTATTATTATTGTTATTTGTTAGTATTATTATTTTATACGAACTGCCTACTC